CCAATTTGACACCAATTAGAGAAATTTCACCTACCTCAAACCAACCCACCAGACTATATCGCCCGCCATTCAAGGCTTCAAAGAAAGTCATGATGATACTTGAGTGGTAGTTATTCTTGTAGGAAAACTCAATCAACGGTAGATGGTCATCACAATTACCCTTGAAGTATATCACACATTCTCTCAACATATCATCCAAGGTTTGTATGGTATTTCCCACCTTCCCATAGGTTCGGGAATGAGAAGTCGTGTTAAGCTTAAACTTAGTACCAAGCCCCTTTTGGAATGCCTTTCAAAAGTGTGAAGCAAATTGAGTACTCCAACAAAAATGATAGATAAGGGAACTATGCAACTTCACTACCTCCTTTACATGGCATAGTCTTCCATCGAAAAAAGAACCTTGACAGAAATGCAATGAGATGATTTTGTCATGTAGTCTATGATTACCTAAATAGAATCATGTTGTCTTCGTACAAGGAAATCCCACAATAAAATCCATAGTCACCACCTCCCACTTCCAAGTGGGAATATTTATATCTTGGGACAAGCCTCCCGGTCTACGGTGTTCGGCCTTAACTTGATCACAATTCGAACATTTGGCTACAAAATTTGCAATATCTCTTTTCATGTCATTCCACTAGTAGACTTCCCATGTATTACGATACATCTTGGTGGATCCCGGATGAACAGAATATTTAGAACCATGAGCCTCTTCTAGAATTAGCTCTGTCAAGGCATGAACATATGGAACACATAATTGACCTTGGTACCTAAGCATCCCATATCCCCCTTACGATAAAGCATCAACGGACTTTAAGAGTACCGACTCTTTCAATTCAACTAGTATAGGATCAAGGTCTTTCTTTTCCTTAACATCCATTATAAAGGAGGATTTGTAACCATGACTATGACACCACTCATTGTGGAATCAACTAGATGAACACATAGTCGGGCAAATGCATATCACCAACCAATTCCTTCTTTTCATCTTCTATATGAGTCAAACTACCCATAGACAATCTACTTAGATCATCCTCTACTATATTAGCTTTGCCAACCCGGATAATAAAGGACACTCATGTCATAGGAGCATACTCTACTACATTAGCTTTGCCCGAATAATAAAGGACACTCATGTCATATTCCTTCAACAAGTCTAACTATCTTTTTTGCCAAAGGTTCAAGTCTTTTTCTCTAAACACATATGGAGACTCTGATGAACGGTGAAAACATCAACATGCACCACGTATAGATAGTGCCTCGACATTTTCAAGGCAACACAACTCCTGCTAATTCACGATCATGGGTCGGATAGTTATTTTCATGATCTTTGAGTTGCCTCACAGCATAGTTAATCATTTTACCATTTTGCATGGACATACATCTTAACCCAACTCTAGAGGAATCACAATACACCATAAAATCATATGTATCCTCCGGTAAGGTCAACACCAGAGCGGAAGTAAGTCTATCCTTTAATTCTTAAAAGATTTTCTCACACTTTTCAGACCATATAAATTTTGCTTTGTTTTGAGTCAAACCCATCAAAAGAGAAGAAATGGAGGAAAATTCCTTGACAAATCTTCTATAATAACCGGTCAAACCAAAAAAGCTTCTAATGTTGATTGGAGTAAAAGGTCTAGGCCAATTCTTGATCACATCCGTCTTCTTAGGATATACTTTAATACCTTTACTTGGCACAATGTGACCAAGGAATGCTACGAACCTTAGCCAAAACTCACATTTGCAAAATTTTGCAAAAAATATTATGTTCCTTAAGGACTCGAAATTCCACCCTCAAATGGTTGACATGTTTTTTCTCACTCCTAGAGTATATGAAGATATTATCAATTAACACAATGGAAAACCTGTTAAGATAGTGTCCGAACACCCTATTCATAAGATCCATGAATGCCACCGAAGCGTTTCCCAACCCACAAGATATAACTAAGAACTCATAGTGATCATATCTCATTCAAAAAGTCATATTTGAGATGTCAACTTCCCTAACCCTTTATTGGTGATAACTTGAACAAAAATCTATCTTTGAAAAATAACTAGGCCCTTGAAGTTGGTCAAATAAGTCATTAATTCTCAAAAATTGGACGCTTGTTCTTAATGGTCGTGTATTCAATTAACGATATTCAATACATATTCTAAGAGACTCATCCTTCTTAACGAAAAATAGTGAGCACCCAAAGAGGAGATGCTTGGTCGAATAAAGCATTTGTCTAGCAAGTCCTTAAGTTTCTCTTTCAACTCCATCAACTCCGTCGGAGCCATTATATAAAGTTGAATGGATATAGGTTGTGTATCCGGAATATGGTCAATACAAAAATCTATTTCCCTTTCGGGAGGAATACCAAGTAAATCGTGAGGAAACACTTCCAGTAACTTATTTACTACCTGAACTGACTCTAGATGAGGGGTTTTAGAATCAACATCATTCCCCCTAACAAAATGATAGCCATACCCTCTAGATATCATCTTTATAGCTTTAAGACAAGAAACAAATTAATCTATATGCATTGAATTTCCACTCTTCCACTCTAAAATAGGTTCCTTCGCATATTAGAGTTAACCACCCAAATTCGACAATCAATAGAAGCATAACATGCATTCAACCAATACATACCAAGAATCACATCAATATCTAGCATGTCAAGTTTTACCGAGTCAATAATAGTGACTCTAAGATACAAGGAAACGGGACATTTTATATAAACCCTATTTTCCATCATCGAATCACCAATCGGATAGAAACCAAAAAAAGTACTATAATTCTTCCGAGGAAACATTAAACCTCATAGACACATAAGGTGTCACAAATACAAAGTAGTTTCGGGGTCCAATAAAACATAAGAATCAATAAGGAAAACTTTCAAAATACTGGTTAGCACATCTGGTGGTCTCTCTTGGTCATCTGGGGATCAATGAGAACACAAATGGTTTTACTTTTGAGTAGTGGGGATTGAATTACTTAGAGGAGATTGTTTGTATTCTCTCCCCTTGGTTGTATGTGTTGGGAAATACTTTAATTGATGACCACTTGTACCACAACCATATAAAATGCCCATGCCGACTAGGAACTTGTCATCATGCCTTTTCCATATTTGGCCCAAGTAGGTTTTGTCGTAATTGTTTTCTTTATAATGACCTCGTTGAGGATTTGGGTTAGACACCCTATTTTGTTGCCCTTTGAAGAACTATAGTGGTCTTGGTTAAATAATATTTTCTTCAACCTTGGTCTTACTTGACCCTCGAATTTACCCTTGAAAAAATTCCCATCACCGGCTCTCGCCTTTTTATGCCTCTCTATTCTTCTTCCTAAATCTTAACTCCTCAATTTGTTTTGCATAAACTTTGTGACTTAAGATATTCATATTATCATGGAACAGAGCCGAATGACTATTACTCAATCAAGTCAAACACCCTCATCAATAGCCTATTGATCTCATCCCTCTGATTCGGCATAAAATATGGAGCATATTTGGGCAATTGAATAAATTTTAGGGAGTTGTCCTTCATATTGATATTCCCTTGACGAAGATTGATAAATTCTTCAACTTTAGCTTCCATCAACTCTCAGGGACAGTATATAGCAAGAAACATTGATTTGAAAACTTCGCATTCTAAGGGACCTGCTCCTACCGACCTATTGTATTTCCATTGTTTAGACCATATTTGAGCCACACCTTTCAGTTGATAAGCGGGTAATTTTTACTTTTTAACTGAGGTCCCTTCAATGATGTCTAGTATTGTGTACAACTCTTCCACAAACTCTTAATTATACTCTCCCCCTTTTGTCACAAAAATTTTGGGGGGTTCATCCTAGCAAAGTCTCTTATCCTTAAAGTGGTCGTATTCACGTTAGGGTTCACATGACGCTAGCATCCCTATAGTCTTGATACGACATAGCTTGTGCTTGAGTTGACACAGCTTAAGTCAATATTTGGAGATCCGACATTATTTCCACATTTGACAGAGTCCCCTCATCAATAAGATCTTGAGTAACTTTAGGATGTTGGGGAACTTTGAAAAACACTCCCTCATAAACATTCTCCTCTTCCCTTCTTCTTATGTTCTTGTATTCATTTACTGGAGATAAAGTGAAGGGTTATGAAATGACTTTATAGAGTTAAAACTCTAAGTCACAACTAAAGAGTAATGAAAGAAATGAGATTTCCTAAACATCTTATAGCCTCTCATTCATAAATGTGGCATGCTTCACACTCATAAACAAGACTATACTAGGTGTGGCTTATGAAACTTCATCCTAATATCATTCTAAACCTTGTGCTCTTATTACCAAGTTTGTCAAAACCCAGCGGTACCCCCTAGATGTACCACAGAGTACTCGACCGCAAATGGGTATCATGCAATCCCTTAGCAACATAACATAAGAGAAATTATATAGAACTAAAAACTTTTTATAGTCGAAGTCTTATATAAAACCACATAGAAGTCTAGAAATCGTCTCACAAGCCATCTATTACAATAAAATAAAAAGTAGGGTCACAACCCTTACAATAGTTTCTAATGGGAAATGAAAGAAATAAAATAAGAATAACTCTTGTACTCAAACAATGAGGACTCACCAAAGCAAGGAGAGAATCAATCCAAGCTTTCAAACGAAGGAGAAGAAAACCTCAACAACCGGTACTACACTCATAGAAAAATGTAGAAAATACGGGTTAGTACAGAAATGCACTAAGTATGGTAGATATGCATAAAATCATTGAAAACATGCTAAAAAGGACATTTTATTTAAAACCATGCTTTTATCAAGCTTAAGAGTCGCCATTCACATTAGTGTAAAAATATAAGTTATACGATCTCATAAGTAACCCTAAGCTATACTTGCGTTGTCCGCCCCGAGCCTAGACCCTTGACATGGACGGCACTCAATGACCATTACTAGCCTTTAACGTACCGTAGGCTTGGCTTACTTAACTCAGGAAAAGTCAACAATCAATGCATTAATGATCAAAGAACTGAACTAAACCAAATAATAAGATAACTAGAATATTTTAAAGATTTAAACATCCAACTTGGACAAATGGCAACCCAATTCTTTAACATAAGAATGATAAGTTAAACATTAGTAAACTACTAACTGTCTATCTATGAAGACTTCTAAAATTGACATGGATGTTGGGACAGACCCCACAATATCCTATAAAAGGAAAGATTGAAAGCAATAAATGTGTCCTCCGGTATGCAAGGAGGCTCACCAATGACTCTGAGTTCTCAGTTGTATCAAGAAGGCGTTGGATGATATTGATCCTGATTACCTGCGTCTGCATCATGATATGATGCAGTCCAATTAGCATCACTACATTGAATGTAAGAGTATGCGAGTTGAAATTCTAACAACATAGGCTATAAAAGAAGTCTTGAGAAACACTTACCTTTGTCATGCTCAACTTATGAATAACTAACTCATTTCAATATAAAGCAATTTAAAAACAAGTGTAATATAAATAAAATTATTTGAAAACAATTTGTAAACTCTGAATGTATACAAGGATACAAGTAACTTTGATATGTATGTAAAATACAATTAAACTGATACATAGATAAAATACAATACTTCTTTGGGAATTCTCTAACTGACACCATCACAGTGATGATACAGCGATCTACCTCACGCTACCAGCGCAAACTATACCCAGCCAAAGGCATAAAACCTGAATTGCGTAATGGATGCACTAGTCTACTGTGAAAAGATTCATCTAAAAAGTATGACCCTAATCTACACATGGTGGCTACATGATTTATGGGGGTTGTGAGTTGTCTAAACTCTCCCCCATATCAATGCTCAATACTACTCCTTAAATATACTAGCTCTTATTTTTTTAAAAATATATTGATTTTGTGGCTTGAGATTAGTGCTCAAAACAAAAGCTCAAAGGCTATCTTGGAAATATCAATTTCCTTGCTTGCTTTATTTAGAAAGTGATTTCTCTTTAACTGAAAACAAGATCAAAGGCTCTTTGGAAATATCAATTTCTCTTCTTTCAAATGTGAAAACATTTTTATGTTCTTTTTGGAATACTTTGTTTCCATATACTTCTTTGAAGGAATACTTCACTTTAATCTGAACTGAACTCGAGCTTAAGTCTTAAAATGACACATAAAACATTTTTGAAAGACTTACGAAACGTGAAACGAACTTCTCTTTCTTTTTTTTAGTCCTTTAAATCTTAAAACAAGTTTAGAGTATTTGCAAAAGACTCATGAATGAACTTTAAGAGATCTTTAAACTTTACTCTAACTTTTCCTTGTATTTGGATTTATGGATTCAAGGTTGTAAATTTGTATTTCTAGATGATTTCTATATGATTAGAAGTCATTTAGAGTAGTTAGAATTATTATTAAGTGTTAAAACACCTTAGAAGGGCTTAATCAGACTGAACTAGGTAAACTTGGCGAAAAATGTCGATTTGGGCACGTTAAGGGTGCGCCGCGCCAGACCATTTCGTCTGAGGCACCACTTTGGCGCACGGCAGGTGTGCTGCCCTTGGTCTCTAGCACAAATGGGGCGCGCCGCGCCTAGTGCTACCCAGATGCGTCTAAACAATTTTCTTCTCTCATTTTCTTATCCTAAATCGCCTAAACCTCCATAGTTCTTTTCCAGAACCCTTAGGATTATTAGTACCTTAAATAACCCATAGATGTAACTTGAAAAACAGTTCTAAATTACGAATCAAAGCAACAATAGGCATTCAACAACTCAATCAACAAGAATTCAACCATGTCTTTCAAGAACATCATTATTCTTATTCAACCAATTCAAAAATCAAAGGATTTAAGAAAGATTGTTGTGTGGGTGAACTGCCCCAACAGTGAAAGATCTCACATACCTTAATAGGGATCACTCCCGACAAATTCCACTCGCTCTTTTGGTGTTCTTGGCAAATCCTTAACTTTTTCTCTCTTCTCTTTTTCTTTTCTCTCTTCTCCAATCCCTAAGCGTGATTTTGATTTTCTAATCTGAACTAAAATTATTTTTAACCCAAATAAATTCCTAAGACTAAATGGGAAATTAATTGATGAAAATATTAGTTTGCCCTTCCTTAAATCTGGATTGGAACTTTCTTTACTTCAACAGCGCAACTTCCTATAAGAATATCTCTCTCATACATTATCAAAAATACAAACTCAGCGGCGTCATACTATGATGATGAATCTTCAAATAATTTGAGGAAAATCCATTGACTTATCCAAGCCCAAGCTTCACTCTTGCTCTTCTTCTTTTTGGGTTTCTAGAGAGAGAAATATTGAGAGGAAGATGAAATTTTGATTTTGATTTGGGTGTTGTGAACACGATTTAGTTTGGGTGTAATTTAACTTAAAATATATTACATTGTTATGTAGGAATATTATAAAATATACCAATTTAATTGGACTAATAATTGGAAATTGTGAAATTACCGCTTACCCAAGTGGATTGCCCCACGCCTAAGACAAAGTCCACGAGGGTCTTCATGGGAAGTGGAATTCTCCACATGTCGGGGTCCCTCGCGTGGAATTGTTCCATTGGATTTTGTAGACATTTCACAAGGTATCTTCCCAGACAGTGGAGTCTTCCACGCCACGTGAACCCTCATATGGACTTGCCTTGTCGCCTAGATGGCTAAGGAAATGTTCGTGAGAGATCTTCACGGGTAGTTTACTCCTCCACGCCTCGGGAATCCCTCACATGGACTGCCTCATTATCAAAATGTCTAAGGTAATTTTCATGAGTGTTCTTCACGGACAGTGGACTCCTCGCCTCGTGAATCCCTCATGTGAACTGCCTCCTCTCCCAAATGGCTAAGGGATTGGTCCACGAGTGCCTTCCATGGGCAGTAAAGGCCTTCACGCCTTATGAAGCCTCATGTGGACCATGGCCTTTGCCTGCATGGCTAAGGCAAGGTTCCACAATGGCTTCCACGGAAATTGGAGCCTTCCACCTATCGTGGTCCCTTGTGTGGACAATGTACGTAGACATTGTTTTGGGGACAAATGTTAGGGTCCCCATCAAGGACGCTTAGTTGGTCCTTGGGGGATCGTACCTTGACGTTTAACACCAAACAACCCTATTGAGTACCGAAGGTTATTTACGACTTTAACCTTAAAGTTGGACTCCAAGATAGGCTACTAGTTCATACATTAAATTCTAAAATTGTTACGTAAGCCTCTAGTTTCACCTATTAATTTTACGGGTGTTACACTCATGATCCTTGTGCAGCAAGTGTTAACATCCCTTTGAGAGGGCACAACGTCGCATTGACTCAATTTTAAAAGAGGTAAAATGAATTTTTAAGAAAGGGTAAAAGGGATTTAAAGGGAGTTGCTACCTAATATTAGAAAAACTAGATAACTAATTAGTTAGCTTAAAGAAAATGTATACAAAACCAAAAGATTTTAGGTTAGGCATCTTTCGAAATCCACAAATACGGGTCCCGACTGGGTTCATTTTTTCAAATTGAGGAGATAGCAATAGTATACAAGTATAATAAAGATATGATATATACTAGTAATAAAATAGAACAAGAATATAAAAAACGATCTAAGGTTTGTCAAACATCAATATATACAGGACAATAAATAAAGAATGTAATTCGAATTTCCTTAGAATAACTTCAATGAGAAGCAACTTCGTATATATGTAAATACACTTAATAAAAGTGTTAGTAATAAACAAATATGAACAAAAACAAATAAATTAAATAATTACTTATAAATTAAAATTTGTCTTATTAACATGGAAGGCCTTGGAAATCAATCATTTTTTTTCATCGGCCAAATCTAACTAAGAAACAATAATAACAGCCAAATCCTACAATATAATAACTTAAATATAAAACATAATCATATAAAAAATAATCAAATATAAAACAATATAACATTAATTGAAGAAAATATCAATACAAAATATATGAACAGTATCCATATATTGACCAAAACTATACAAAAACAAAGAACAACCAAAATAATAACAACATTTAATGTGACAAGTGGCGGAATACTTAAAGTAGTAGACAACACAAAAATCTAACCAAACAAAACCAAACTAAAAAAACTATAATTAAAAAAATAACAAAATTAAAAACAAAGCAACTAAGATAAATGGAACAAACAAAAATCGACCATTATAACTAAAATAAATAAATAAACCAAATGAACAAAAGACTCATATCTCTGGAAATATCAAAGTAAAGTTAAATAAAAAACAAATTGCAAAGCTTATTGGAGACAAAGATAACACCTGAGTTTGTGACTAAGTAACAATTTGTTAGCACTGGTGATTTTATCCAATGGTAAGAGAGCTTCGTTGGTGCAAAATCTGGATAAATTGTTGTGGTTTACCGACAATAGAGCCACGCCGGAGCTGGAGTGGGAGCTCGTTAGAACATCAAGAAATACCTGCAAAACAGGAGAACAGAGGTAAAGGGGAGAAGGGATGAGGACTTGTTTGTTCCAATGTACAAAATCCGAGAGTGAAAATTGTTTTTGATTTTGGTATTGCTCAGTTACTGGTGGAGTTTTGGGTCTAGTTTTGCTGGAAATGGCGTCAGGCGTAGATTGGTTTCATTTGTTGGAAAATATGGGGAATGTGGATCTGATGTTTAGTCAAAAAATGGGTATTGAACTAGTGGAGATCTAGTGGTGTATGCAGACCTATTAGGGGTTGATGGAGGTTGGTGGTAGAGAGAGCTTTTCGACCAAATCTTGCCAAAAATGGCAAAACTCAAGATAGGAGAAAGAAACAGAGGTGGGTTTGGTTCACTGGAGGCAGTGAAGAGGGGTATGGAGGTGATGTGGTGAGCTCGTTCGGAGCTTGTTTTGTCAAAAAATTAGGGGTGGGCATTCGGTAGTTCGATTGGTTCGGTTTTTTTGATTTTGGTTAATGAATTTGTTATACCGAACCGAATTAGTTTGGTTCGGTTTTTTGTAATATGGTTTGGTTCGGTTAGGTTTATTAAATTTGATTTGTGATGATGTAGTACTCTAGGTAATAGATCGTGTTAGGTGGACGTCGTTTACTGAGATGCAAATAACACTAGCCGATGGGCAAATGCTGCGAATTGTTGGAGCCTAAGATTTTGAAGGAAAAAATAGAAAACACAAAAAAAAAATTGGAACAAAAATTAAAAATTGAAACTAACATTGTCCCTGCAACTTGGAGTTGGAAGAGGAGGTGCAGCAGTTGGATTGAAATTTGGAATGAAAGTAAAAAGGCAAAGTAAAAAATAAAACCTAAGGGGTGTTGATCAATAATCAGTAAAAATTAGAAAATATATAATATAATATTAATAATTAAATAATATCTAAAATTATAATGCATAAATTTTGGTTAATTCGAAAAATTGAAATACAATAATTGTGTTATCAGAAATTGAATCGAAAAATAGAAGTAACAAAAAATTGGAACCGATATTGAATCGAAAAACCAAAAAACCGTAACCAAAAATCAAATTGGTCAGGTTCGATGTTCCATTCTTTTAGAATTTTTTCCCACCCCTAGGGAAAATGTGGCAAATGAATGAGGTTTTAGGGGTCGTTAAGGGTTTTTGCCGTGGTTTAGTGGATATTAGGAACGTTGGCGTTTTGTGTTTTCCGGTGGGATTTGGGGATGGTGGTTGGGTCCTGTTGGAAAACAAATATGGGTTGTTTCTAGCTACTGTTTTCTGGTGAAGAAACAAGAAGAGAAAAAATTAGGATTGGGTATGTCAGAGCTTGACCGTAATCCGGGGTGGTGGTGATCGGAAAATAATGAAAAGGGGAACCTTTGTGAATAAAAATCTGAAAATTCCTAACCCTAACCTAAAAATATTCAATCAACCTTTAACCTAATGAACGAACTTTTCTTTAAATAGGGAATTGAAAACCACCATTACTACAATACCACTATATTAAAATGGTGGTCTAAAATCACTAGTCAATAAATATTTGTGTATGAAATCTTCTCCACATTTGAATGAATTTCTGGATTGTGCAAAATATAAAAATGGATATTTACAAATATAACAGATAGAATGAATATTAACAAATGTAACAGATAAAATGAATATAAAAAATCTAATGAACGTAACCAATGACATGTAAAAATGCAATATAACATAAATAATGATTTTATTAAAAATGAAGAAGTATTTGAATGAATTCAAGCGACTGTGAAAAAATAATATCAACAGAACTAACCGATAAAAATCTTAATGCTTTGGGAAAAAGGATAATTATCAACAAATGGCATTAAAGTGGCAAAACATTTATTTTGAACTATTTAAAAATAAAATACTTGAAATTATTAGGGAGGAGTTCTACAGCAAGAAGGCTTAGAGAACGAGTAATGAGTCCAAACAGTAAAAGGACAGTAATGTAAACTGTCATCTTTTTAGCAAAGGCCAACTGGACTTCACCATCATCTGCTAATGTGACTGCACCAAAGAACAAAGGTAATTTTAGATATCAGAATTTGCAGGACTTCAAATCTTGACCTTCTCAGTTTCAGAGTAGTGTGGCATAAGGATGAAATTGACTCATATTGTGCTAGGTGTGGTAGAAATCACCTAGGAGCGTTCGTGATGACTCTACTAGATGGTTTGAGTGTGGCCAGATAGGTCACTTTATGAGAGAGTGCCCTAAAAATAGTGAAGGAAATGGTAATGTAGGCAATAAAGCCCAATCTTCTTCAGCGGCTCTGGCAGATAGAAATGCACCTAGAGGTGTTACTTCAGGGACAGGTGGATGAGAAAACTCTGTGTATACTATCAATTATCCAAGTGTGAATATATCTTTTGTGACTCCGTATGTTTCTACAAGGTTTGATATTTTTCTTGAGTGGCTTCTTAATCCCTTCATCATTTCCACCAACTGGTAAGTCTGTTATAATCGAGAGATTTTATCGTGATTGTACCATCTTTGTCAATCACAAGGACACCATGACTTACTAAGTCAAGTTATATGTGGTAGACTTTGATGTTATTCTAGGTATGGACTAGTTTTATGTTTGTTATGCCTCGTTTGATTCTAGAACTCGAGTATCTATGTTCTAGTTTCTTAATGAGTATGATATTGAGTGGAGGAGTAGTCCAATAGTGAATAAGGGTCATTTCATTTCGTACCTTAAGTCAAGAAAGTTAGTTTATAAGGGTGCATCTATCACTTAATATGATTTAATGAATCTAGTGTTGATACATCGCTTATTTAATCAGTTTCAATTGTGAGTGAATTTCCATAGGTCTTTCCAAATGATCTTCTCAGAGAACCTCCTAAGAGAAATCAACTTTGGCATAGATATTCTTCCTAATACTCAACATATTTCTATTCACCATATAGAATAGCTTCAGTTAATTAAAAGAGTTAAAAGATCAATTGAGAGATCTTATTGATAAAGGTTTTATTTGAACTGGTGTCTCACCTTGGGGCGCTCCGGTCTTATTTGTGAGGAAGAAAGATGGTTCATTTAGGATGTATATTTATTACCGTCAGTTGAACAAGGTCACTAAAAGAATAAGTATCCTCTTCCAAGAATTGGGGATTTTTTATCAACCTTAGGGTGCCACGTGCTTTTCTGAGATAGACCTTAGATCGGGCTATCATCAATTGAGAGTAAGAGAAAGTGACATCCCGAAGACACCATTCAGGACCCGTTATGGTAATTATGAGTTTCTTGTTATGTCTTTTGGGTTGACTAATGTTGTTGCATCTATCATAAACCTGATGAATAGAGTCTTTAAGCCTTATCTTGACATGTTTGTTATCATATTTGTTGATGGCATTTTGATTTCTTTGAGGATTGAGGAGGATCATGCTAGTCATCTCATAATAGTTCTCCAAACTCTCAATGACAGAAAATTGTATGCCAAATTTTCCATGTGTGAATTTTGGATTGAGTTTGTCGCGTTCTTAGGCAAAATTGTATCTAGAGTAAGGATTCGAGTTGACACTCAGAAGATTGAAGCAGTGTAGAATTGTCCCAAATCCACATCTCCAACTGATATAAAGAATTTCTTAGGGTTGGCTAGTTACTATAGAAAGTTTTTCGAGGGACTTCCCTCTATTTCTTCCTCATTGACAAAGTTAACTCAAAAGACAAAAAAGATTCAATAGTCAGAAGCTTGTGAGGAAATCTTTAAGGAATTGAAAAACCGGTGAACTATTGCCTCACTATTGACCCTATCAGAGGGTACACAAGGCTTTGTTATGTATTGTGATGCATCCAGAGTTATGATTGGTTGCGTATTGATGCAAAATTAAAAGGCTATAGTATATGCCTCCAAACATCGTAAGGTTCACGAGAAGAATTATCCCAAGATATACAGTTAATTGTTGTAGTGGTTGTGTATTCATGCAAAATACAAAGGTAATAGCCTATGCCTAAGGTTCACGAGAAGAGTTACCCAACTCATGATCTAGAGTTTGTTACTGTAGTATTTGCATTGAAAATATGGCCTCACAATCTTAATAGTGTTCATGTAGATATGTTAACTGATCACAAAAGTCTCGAGCAAGTTTTTTTAAAAAAGAACTTAATCTTTGAAGGAAAGAGCAGTGACAAAAAAATCCTTCCAAATGTGGAATTGAATAGATAAAGTGTATAGAGTTGCGCAAGGATAATGACATGAGTATCCTTTATCACTTATGTAAGTCTCATGTTGTTGTTGATGCTTTAAGCAGGCTCTCTATGGGTAGTACTACCCATATTGAGGAAGGAAAGAAAGAACTAGACATGGATCTGCATAGACTTGCACGATTGTGGAGTTTGGTCGCTAGATTCCAATGAAAGTAGAGTGGTTGTGATGAATGAGGCTAAATAATTGCTAGGGTATGAAGTGAAAGAGAAACAAGACCAAGACCTTGTCTTTCTTGTATTGAAGTAAAATGTTCATAAGTAGAAAGTGATGGCTTTTGAACCATGGGGAGATGGTGTGTGATGATTTCGAGAATTTTCCTCATTTAGGGATTTGTTTCGATAATATAAGTGTCCTCAAATGCCTAATTTATGCTCTAAATTGATGTTAAGGTGTTGATTTGTAGAATTATAGGTAAAAGAGCAATGCAAGCACACCACCAGACAAAATGAACAAATAAGCTAAAGAAGTGAGAAAAGTGAACCAGGTGATCTCCAAGACAACTCAGTAAACCACCGAGTGTCTCTTTACATTGACCAAAGTTCTAGCGTGCCAATCTTGGGGAATAACCAAGTTGGCAACAGAATTGGGCAGTCTAAAAATCGTCGATCGATTCCGCGACAACAAGTTTGAACTCCCGAAGTTACAAAACTTAGGAGGTTAATGACCAATGCAATGTAGCGACGGAAGGATACAAAAGGAGCATCACTGAACCACTCATTGAGGCGCGACTCATTCCACCAAATAGACATTCCTCCAAAAGGTGGGTAACTATAAATTGGAATTCAAAAAGAAAAATGAAGAATTCTGACCCCTTCCCCCCCCCCCCTCCCAGTTTGAGAGTTAGAGGTTCTTTGAGTTTTTCCATCCCTGTTGTACTAAGCTTAATTGTGAGGATTTGGAATTGGGTTATTAAATTTAACCATTTTGGAACATTGAAAAGGCTTGGAGACTCTTACCCAACTGATGGCTAATCAAATTGGTAATTATTTTTGCCTTTTTATGATGTTTAGCTAAAACTCTAATTCTTGGGGTGTGATCATGTGATTATGATTTGAAATTTCTTAGAGATACTGTTATTTACTAACTTAAATACATAATTGAAGTGGGTTTAATTGATAGTTGTGTTATAATCTAAGAATTGTAATTGTAAATGCAATTCAAACTTAGAATTTCTGAGCTTGCTTCAAAAAAAGGTTTTAGAATCAAATTATTCACTTGACGATTATAGTTATTATGTTGATATCGGCTTAGCTAGAAAAAATAAATCCTAAACTTAATTCTACCTATCTATCTCGAAAGAGTAGATGAATTAGGGTTTTAGATTGTTCTTATAGTCAAGTGTTGCTCTCAATTGCACATGCAAGTGTACGTGATCGCAGAAGTAATATAGTGGCTCTTAAAAGAACCAGATTATCGATCCCAAAGTACTTGTCAATTAAATATTTTTACTAAATTAGAGTAGTCTAATTATTTATTTAAGAGAGCCAAAGAAAAAGAATACAAAAATAAAATAATAAATTGTTGAAAAATCCCAGGGTTGCAGCATATATTGGATTTCATGTACTTTTTTGGCTTAGAAGTAATTTTAGTTGTCAAGTTACTGGTTTATAGGGTTAATTGTATGAGTCAGGCTACACACCTC